AGGTTTGGTGCCTAGACAAACCTTTCGTAGAATGATGATGGGGAGTCCAGCGTAACAACCAGTTGGCAGAGCAGAGGGGCATTGCAGAGGCTTATGCCTCCTCTTCTGATTTCTTTATTCTCATCCATTTCATTGGTCCTCTTTAATTGTGAGGCACTGACATTATTATGGTCCCTGCAGAGGTCAGCATGTTGAAGCCCAAGTTTGAGGCTTTATTTGTTTCAAATGTTTGGATATATCTTGGGGGTCTTATTTTTTCATTCCATCTTACTATAACCCCCAAAGTGGGACAGGGTGGAGATTTATATGCCCCTTCCCTTTTTGGCTAGAACCAATCTATGTCATTAGTAACTGCCATAGGCTCTTTTGTTATTTATTTTTAAAGCTTATTCCTATGTGAGAATGAGAGAGAGAGAGAGAGAGAGAGGCAAGCTCAACAGGGTCTCATGCTGCAATCCCTTACCCACCAACTGTCCCAGCCAGCCAGGATCATAAACGTGCGTTCCTGGCATGTATAGATCAAACTGAACTCATGATCTTCATGATCTCCCTATGGATCCAGCATTGTTTGAGTAGCTTGAGTAGCACCACTGAGCCGGCCCAACAGATCCTTCTTAACACTGGTTTCTACTCAGGTTCTCTATGGCCAGACAATGGAACAAAATAAAGATAAATTTTACCTCAGAAATTGATTTATGCTGCATGGTGTTTTTTTTTGTTTTTTTTTTTTTTTGGAGAGATTTTTCACTGTAGGGCGCGTGCACTCGCCAGACAGACAGAGAGAGACATAGAGACAGAAAGCAAGAAATCCCCCCCCAGGGGGGATGGTCACGTCACAATCCCTTCTCCTCCATTCTCCTCTCGGGATCTTGGGCACGCACGCACACGCGCCCGGCGTGAGTTTTAAGCCACCGGGTCCGGGACACGACCCGCGGTCGACTACGTGGGAGTCCAGCGACATAGCCATTACGCTAACTGCTGGTTCCCAATGCTGCATGTCTTTTAAGAATGTTAGTGGTCACAAGAAAAAAATATATTCACTAAATTAAACCACTAAACAGCACTTTCTCTTGTGTTTATTATAAGGAAATTGAAGGTCATAAAAAGCTAGGAGAGGGACATTACCAATTGGCTGAAAGTTTCAGGGAATCGATATAAACACTAACTAAAACGCACTCCTATGGCTTCTGAGAGGACCACGTTGATCTGCACAAATAAGAAACTGAAAGTCATCATAACTGTTTCTGGCTTATTTATCATATGAAGACACTGAAGTCATAACCCAAGCTCAGTTTTCCTATTTTCTCGCTCAAACAGTGAACTTTCTTTTTTAGAGATATTTTTGCGAGAGGGCTCATGCACTTGTCAGAAACACAGAAACAAGTGAGATATCACCCCCCCCCCCCGGCCCACGCCCCAGTAATATCCCCCCCCCCCCCCGGGCCATGGCCACAACGCAATCCCTTCTCCACCATTTTCCTCTCAGAATCTTGAGCACGAACGCACAGGCGCCCGGTGTATTTTAAACCTCCAGGCCTGGGACTCAAACCGCAATCGACTATGTGGTAGTCCCATGACATAACCATTACACTAACTGCTGGTCCCAACAGCGAGAACTTTCTAACACATCGTTTCATAGAAAACTTTATTTAAAAACTCATTTGGCCTAAGCAGGAAGCTCATAGGGAAAGTGCCAGACTCTTCAAACTGGTTAGTAAAAATGAAGAACCAGCAGGACTAATCCCAGGCACACAAGCTTAGGCTCCATGAGTAAAGAAAGTGTCCCATAGAACGACTCTATCTGCGGTAACAGTGATGTCAACAAACGGTGTCCTCATTCATTGCTACAGAGATGAACAGTTATTTTGGTTTTGCCCTGGTTAGATCTTACTTAGATACATTCCAGGAGTGTGGCAAAATAGATTTAATGTTCTAAAAGATTCAAAGTACAATATTGGCTAAAAATTAAACAGTTATAAAAATGCAGATTAAGTTTGCATTGACATGCAAGTTGGAAAGCAATAGAAACTACCCAAAGTTTTTCTAATCTGAAATGCTTATCAAGACAAAAAAAAGATGAGTCCAGCAAGTAGTGTGGTGGTTAAGGTGCTGGACACTCCCACATGACTGACTACTGTTCAAGTCCCAGACCTGGTGGCTTGCTTTCTCACTGTCCTTCTCTCTCTCTCTTTGGGGTCAAATTAAAATAAATGAATGAATAAATAAAATTAAGTAAATAATTCTTTTAAAAAGTTAATAAGAAAATAAAATAAAAAATAGAAAGAAACAAAACATTTAATTTAAGGGTCACAAAAATGGAAAATTATCTGTTGATGATAATATCTTTATTTAAATTTTTTTGGAGAAGTTTTTGCTATAGGGCATGGATGCTTGTCAGAAAGACAGAGA